ATATAAGTATCCAAATTTATCGTATTTAGTGATTTCACTTTTATTTTGCCACGCTATATTTGTATCAGCTGCGGATTGCACACTGTAGAACAACAAAAAAAAAGCAAAACAAACCAAACAGACAGACAGACTGACAAACGCAAAAAGTTTGATTTGAAAAATGCATTTGATGGCCATCATGACAAGCCATATCCTTATACTTTGATATTATTACGTGACTACTTCTGTATTGGCATTGTAATTGGTCCAGACATGATGCCGAAGCACAATACAGCTGGCCGAGAACCAATAAAAAGGCCAATATAGAAATAGTCACGTAATGATATCTTTATTAATTAACTACAGTATTTACCCTTTTTGCTTTTAGATTTATTTCATTTCACAAGAATTTAACATTTTTTGTCTTGAAATGGAACTATTCAAAACTGATTTTCCTTTTAAAAGCTGCAATCATTATGTCAAATAAACTGGTGCTGTTTCGAGGGGGTCTACGTTTGTTGATGATTTGTTCACCCTTTTCAGTGTGTTACAATTCATATTTATCCTCAAAACATAAATAAATAATAATTGGAAAGGAACTGCCATTGCATGAGAGATCCAGAAACAAAAGGATTAAATAAAACTGGGAATTGAATATGATTGACAATGAGACAACTATCGAATTCCAGACACTTCGGCACCAACAAATAATCGGCACGAGGATATTGTGGCATCTATAAAGACATTTTTGCACCCAATGAGGACATTTCGATATCAAGTCAAATCGGCACCTCATAATGACAAACACTTACTTTGTTTATTTTCCACGTATAGCTTTCAGAAGTTATTAATTATTACATATCTCAACGGTTTAAGTGGCCTTTCCTTGATGGCCTGTTTGATAACAACTGATGACGAATTGCCCGACTTTGTTGTAGTCATTTGAACACCTGACGTGGTGAAACTAGATTTAAGTAGGATCTCAGCTCGCTTTTAAATGTTCATCAGTTGAAAACTATCCATTAAAGGGACACTAGCTGTCAAATTCATGTTCACTGATTTGACTCAAATTCTCGAATTTGATTTATAACATACTAAAACGTATATTCAAATTACAATAAGTCTGAAATAAACAGTTAACACTGCATGTACTCGATAATATTTATCAGAATTTCGTGTGTATTTTAGTCTAGACGCCATCTAATTAACTTTCGAGATGACCACCGTAGACTGCCGATTGTCATATAACCAGATATAAACATAAACATAAATAACTAGCGACCTCGTGCAATTGGATTTTTCTAGGTCTGTTTGATTTCATGTTATAGGTTAAATAAAAAGTTAATTATCGTTTTTACCTGTATAAGAATGATTTTTTTGTGGATCGAATCAGTCAACGAAATGGTTCACCTTAGTTTCACGTTCAATGTTGACATTCTTTTCCTTTTAATGGCTGGCCACGATTTATACATGCGTAACCAATCTTTAGCTATTGGGTTAAATTGAAGGTCACGTGAATACGGATTCAATGAGGTCGAATTATTCACTTGCAAGTGAATAATTCATCAGCAATGTTTCTTTGCTTATTTTGACAAAATTGAACCAAATTGGTTGCTAAAAACGAATTATTATTTCATCATTTCACTTATATTAATGATTGAACAAAACAAAATCATATTCTAATTTTTTTCATATCTCGTAGCTAGTGCCTCTTTAAAGTTTCTTGATACTGGATGTTACAATATATGGCTGGCGCGTTATAGCTAAACAATTGGAATATTAAAAACAATAAAATCTATTTACATGTATTTCATTTTCTTTAAAAATTTAGAGATCAAACGATCACCATCTACAAACACAAGCTGTGAACTTTTGATCGTCGGTACGAACAACCTATTATGGCTACTTAAAATATTCATTAATGCATAACTTTACAATTAATTATGTTTTTTGATAACATGTACATATCTTTAATCAATATAAAAGCGTTTGGATGGGGTTTACATAATAGAGAATAATTGACCAATACTACAGAATAATGGGCCACACAAATTAAGAATACAAAAAAAGGCCCCAAAAATAAAGATAAGAGAATAATGGGGTGTTAAAATGCAAGGAATAGAGAAAAATGGGGTGTTAAAATGCAAAGAATATAGATTGATTGATTAATTGTTGGTGTTTTAACGCCACTTTTAAGCGCCACATTTGGGCTATTTCGTGGCGGCCAGTTTTTATTGGTGGAGGAAGCTGGAGTGCCCGGAGAAAACAACCGACCTTCGATAGGAAAACTGACAATCCTAGTCAATTAAGGTTAGAGTCGAGTGCACCCACACGAGCGGGGTTCGAACTCACAACCTCAGTGTTGACTGGCTAGTGATTACAGTAGTAGAACTTCTTAGACCACTTGGCCACCGAGGCCCACAAAGAATATAGAATAAGGGGCAAAAAAAATAAAGAATAGAGAAAAACGTCTTAAAAAATTAAAGAATTATTATTATACAGAATTGAGGGACCCCCATCCAGACCCTCATGAAATCAAGTTTTGTTTAGAGAACAATGCACTTTATTGTACATATTTGTTAACCGGATTTTCGAAGGACCCTTTTAGAAATCTTATTATGTGATTGAGTTATTTCCCTTTGAACAGAAATTAATAAGTTTATGTATAGCTGAGATGTATAGATAGCCTATCAATGATTGTATCTGTTCAATTGATTAGTCAGGAGTTGTCAAAAATTTACATATTTTTTTAAGTCATGTGTGTTTTGAAGGTAGATGTCACAGTTGCTATGTTGTATTTTATTTTTGTTGTGTGTGTTAATATGAAATTTTTACTTGGTCCTGTTTGGGTGTCAAGATTTGCAAATATCATTTATATTAGATAATAATCTATTCTTATTAAAGGATATATTTCATTACATTACATTGTGTAGATAAAGTTGTTGACATTGATAGATAAGTTGCAGATAAGATAATAGTTTTTTACAAATAAAAGAAAAAATATTGGGAACTGTTAATTATATTTGATTATAATTTGAAAACATCATATCTAATTTTAGAGAACATTTTTTTCAGTGGTGAAATTATATCTAATTTTTGATTTGCATTACTGGTTCATGGAAACAAGTTTGAGTTATTTCCCTTTGAACAGAAATTGTTTCAATTAATAAGTATTTCATCAAAAATTGAATTTTTATGGTTCTTTGATAAGCTGATTCTAACAATGTACTTAGATTTTGGATATTGAACCATAATAGGTAATTGTCCAATTTCAAATTTTTCAGTTCTTTGACCACATTTATTTTGTGTCACAAACCTATGCTGTATCAAATATTCAATCACAATCCAAATTCAGAGCTGTTTTAAGCTTAAATGTTGTGTCCATACTTGCTCAACTGTTCAGGGTTCGACCTCTGCAGGAAAATCCGGTTTGCTGTCACTCTGACAGCCTCTTGTTTTCTTTTTATCATCATGGTGAATACAAATTAATAGCAACTGTATGACAAACAATGAGGTGCCGAATTGTCTAGGTCTAGAAATGTCCGAAAGGGTGTCAAATTGTCTTTGGGACAGGGTGCGAAATGTCCTTGTACCACAAATATCATAGACCAATTGACCAAAGAACAAAAATTAATTACAATAGATTTGATATTTCCTTAAAGATTGCAATTTAGTTGATATGATAAATCAATGATTTTGGTGTTAATGTTGATGAGACTACATCCCAACAATAATATTTCTACCAAAGTATGTATTTTGAGGGAACATACCGTCCCCTGCGATAACCAGACGCTAACATAATTGTTTTCAAATGTAACAAGTGTTCAAGTATTTCGTTTAAATCCTAAATTTTGTTTTTGTATTTGGACGTTCATGTTAAAATTTATAGTAGACTTTCTGCTTACGGTCCCGCAAATACTTATACATATAAAAAAGAAGATGTGGTATGATTGCCAATGATAGACATCTATTTCCCCGTAATTCTATTGCAAATCGGGCTTTGATGACGGTAATAGTTTCTTTGTCAAGACACAAATAACGAAAAGAAGACATCTAGAGGATGCGATACAGTCTTCAACAAAAGATAGCTGTCTATACAATATGTCCACCTCTGAAGATGGGCCCTAACATTACAATGGTTATCCAGTCTTTATTTTCGAGAGAAAATAAGATTCCCAATGAACGACCCCATTAAGAATTGAACAATGAAGAACAAGTAAGAATAAACAGTAATTTCTGATAAACATCACATTTCCATGGTAAACAATGTCGGTAACTAGACAGGTACATTGTATATAAAATACAACCAGACCTATCAGTTGAATCCATACTCAATTATCAACACACAGTTAAGAAGCAACATGACCGATTCATATCCGAAACTACTCGAAAACATTAGTATCTTGTTAACGTACAGTTTTTAACTAGTTTGTACAAGCACATCTTATATTTTTACAGAAAATGTCGATTTGCCAATTGCTACCATAAATATTACGGAATAGTTACTACTCGATTGTCGAAGATGGGCGAGTTATGGTATATAAATTTTCTCCTGCTCACCAATCATGTCTAACAATTACATTTGTACTTAAGGTTAATCTGAGGGATCGTGCAAAGTTTCATCTCACAAAGACCTGACCCATGTCAATTTTGATGACTGATTGTAATGTTTTAAACAGAAGGAATTCGAATCAATCGAACACATCTTATCATAAGCACGGATTTCTTTTGCAGATCTTTTCGAAAGAAAGTATTACACAACTTTTAAAAACAAGCTCCCTTTTGACTGCCATTCCATAGTGTTGTTGCTTTTCGTTCCAATTGCAAGTTTTATGATATCTCAAGTGTTAACAATATACAGATCTATTCGGAATGTTGGATATTTTTTGGTTTCTTTGAGACGAGCACGTTTTCTTTTGAAAGCCTTTTTCAGATTTATTGCTTATATCAACAAATATTTAGTTTCTATACACTGATACATGTCAACAAGACATCAGCCTTACAATGAATAATTACAAGTAGGCTTCTTTTATATACTTTTTTAATGATATTCAACCATTCTGAAATACAACAACAAATTATATTAGCTGTAAATTTTAAAACTATTTTCAACTTTTTTATTGTCAACCTACCAAATTAACATAATTTCATAAGCCTACCCATTAACGATCTTAATTCTTCAAAATTCATCTAATAATTAAAAACAATACATTACAATTTTCATAGAGCAATTCAAGAGTGATTTTTTTGAAAACGAGCCGTTTTTTAGCCATAATGAATATATATTCTCGAGCTAAAATTAAGGATATGTGGTTAAATTGCCAATGAGACAATTTTCAGACATAAGGCAAGAACAATATTGCTTTATTGTGGACGATATACCCTTAGTTTGTAAAAATCCGAGATTTTAATGAATCGATTTCGAACTGATAATTTTTAGCGAAATATCTTTTGGCTAAAATATATGTAATTGACTAAGTCTATCAAAACATACATAGAAAAAGTACAAATTGGTCATTTATGAAAGTTACTGTCAAATGTTTCCAATAACCTCATACATCTTACCGACTGATGTTTTTCCTGATTTCTTGATTTCATATTTCTATATTATTTATTTATGTCTAATCTTATTCGACGAATTGAACTTTTTAATCAAAACATATTTTACAGTTAAAAATAAAAGTCTTGAATGATTAATATAATGTTTTTTTTTTATTTCTATGAATAAAGATGAAATAACTTTGAAGGCAATGCTCACATTTATTTTCTTGCTAAATGTTCTCTTTTTATGTCATATATCATGATGTATCCTATTGAAATGAGATTTATACAGAACATACACGTTCTTTACTTTTATTATGAACAAAGTATTATAAGTAAAACTATGTATAATATAAATCGACAACAACAAAATTAAGATGTTCCAGAATACAACATGTACATAAATAAATGCAATACCAGGTTACCGATGTTGAAACGTCACCAATCGATTAAGAAGATAAAACATGCAAAATCTATCATAGATCGAAAAGCTACGGTTTCTTTTTTACAATATGATAGTAAAATATAAAACAACACGTTATTAATGTCATGCGTCCGAAGCGCTTTTCTTGATTTTCCTTCATCAGGAACGCTCAAAGCCGAATATTTAAAGCCAAGGATGTTTAAGAACCGAAACAGTTGAAAGCTATATTACCAAAGGGCCTTAAAAATAGCCATATCCATCTAAGGTCAACTATGCCTGAGGGAGTTGAAACTTAGTTCCCTTATAATTTTAAAATGTACAAACGAATGATTTCAGAGTAAGTTATATGTACAAAAAATGTAAGTCTTCTTCTTGAACTTTCCGAAACCTTAAAAATGTCATAATCAGTTAAATATTTTTTTTCAAGTATTTCGTTTCGGTTTTGGTTTAACAATAGGCCTCAATGCTATTTTTTCTTCCGGATTTGTCTTCTTTGTCATCCCATCAATGTTTACATACTGAGGATTCAGTGGTTTTCTAAGATCTGAAATTATAAATTTAAAAATATCGGGACATTTAATAAAAAAAAAATAAACATTAAAATTTTTCCAGTTTCAAACTTTGTCGGATGAAAATAACCCACTGTATACTTCGGCGTACGATTTTAAGCCATTTTAGCATTCGCTACCTCGCACTAAATAAACTGCTGTTTTTTTTTTTTGGGAAAATGTCGCAAGTCAGGAGTCTGTAATTCAGAGGTTATTGTCGGTTGCTGTATGCCATATCTGTAATTCGTTTATTGTTTTGTCGTAAATCGGGCGATTTGTTTTTTTCGGTTGAATTGTTTAACCTTGTGACCTTTTTGGGCCTTTTATAGCCGATTGTACGGTATGGCGTTTGCTCATTGTTGAATGCTGCATGGTGACCTTTATTGTTGCTTACATTCACGTCATTTGGAATCTGGTGGATACTTGGTAATTAAATTCAACTTACATTCTGTTATCAATGAATCAGTATTATAATTCAAAGGGAAAATCATCCACTATGATATAAATATATTACAGCGCACACTTTCATTTTTGTTTTAAATTAAATTTTCAACAAATTTTAATTTCTCATTTTTACAATATTCTTTTTCGTAAAATATACTTCCGTAACATAAATGTATTAAATCTTTGAAAATTTCTCTTTGATCGGATCTTAACATGATAAACGCCATTATTTGCCCTAGTAATTGGAAACATTATAAAATTATTCAATCCTTTCAATATTGTATTTGATAAGAGAATAGGATGTTATAATATTTCAGAACCATAGTTATGATGTCATTGTGGGGTTGTTCACATGTCGAAATCAACATATTTGAAAAAAAATGGAATTTTACGGAAAGAAATTTGATAAAATTAGTTGTGAGTCGAGACCTTATCCAAAACATATTTTATTCACAATTACATTTTTGAAAAAAGTTCTTGTACCAAAATATTTTTCAGGGTAAGGCTTTGTTTCATACAAATAAAGATAAGATATTAACATGGCGCTATTTTGTGTTTTTTTTTTAAATGGTGCATTTAATACAATAAGGTTGAATTCTTATTAAGCCTCAATCAAGTACTTTACGTAAATCGCATTTTAAAGACAGTCGTACTGTCATCTGACGAATTTATGTCTGGTAAACATCTGATGGATTTTTTTTATCGATTTAAAATACTTTTTGAGTTACGAATTCAAGAGACGAAAATAGTGTCATATCCAAATCTTATCTTCTCCTTGTTACTCGTCGGTTTTTTTCCTGTCTACTATTTGTCTTTTGATTATGTTGTTATCTGTCTTTTCTCAACTGTTGATTTGTATATGTTCCATTTCTTACTACATGTATACTATTCATTATCAAATTTGACCATTTATTAGTAAAACTTAATTGCAAAACGGAACAACATGTACAACAAACTAGTGATGGATACAAAGAGCGGTTTTAATTTATTATAAACAGGTAATCTGTCATTAAAATGGTTTCTTGAAAATGTAGCTATATAGACGAATACATTGCTAAGATGTTTCGTTCTTTTTTGTGTTCTGTTTTGTTAAAACTGAATTGTCTGGTTGTTCTGAAATATTCCTCGCCAAAATTAAAATAATCACTTGAGTAATTTCTATAAGTCTGCAACATTGTCATGGCGAGCAGATGTTTGTAATAATGGTTTCAAAAACTTTATCACCTTAAATATTGGTTTAAGGTCTATTGACATTGTGGATAGACGCACACCACCTATTCCTGGCCCTCATTCCTATCCACGTTAAATTTTTCACTTCCATACATTTTATGGGGGCGGGATCAATATACCGTTATTTATACACCAGACCGTACTGGTTGTCGGAATTTTAGATACCCCAAACCAGGTACTTCATATCTGAGAAACAGGCAAGATATGCCCTCAATTTTAGAATTCATTCATAAATTATTGTATTATTCAAAATCATGTCTATATGTGTTCTACAAGGATCACCAGTCCTTCACCTTTCATCTGATACCTTAATTACTAAAATATATTCTACAGTTTTTTATTTACACATGTGCGTAGGAACTAGTTTGTTTTAAATATGTACTACTTTCCAGTATGTTCTTTTTTGACCTGTCCCGATTTGGTGGTGTTACATCTTACAAAGTCTATCCAAATAATTTTGCAAAGAATTCCGCTCAAGCAGGTGCCAGAGGCCGTCTTAAACTTGCAATGAGGTGAGAGTTTTTTTATTGCTCCGTGTTGAAGGCCGCATTGTGACTTTGAGATGAAGAACAGCATTTAAAGCGCTGTTCCTTTGCTTTTTGTGTGTTTTTTTTGCTATGCATGTACTGATTTTGTGTCATGGATGGATACCCAATATCCTTTATTTTTCCATCAATGTATTGAATGATTTGATGACATGGCATGATAAAAATGTTTTAAACCGTGATCTAAATTAATGTTAATCAACTTTTTTCGCGAAAAGATTGCAATTTCATTGCTTTAATATCGTATAATTACGAAAAACTTGTTGCTGACGACATTCTACATCTGTTAAAGTTCTCCCGTCGAAGTTAACATTTCTGTAATCCGAGTTGACATTTCTGAGTTCCATGTTGAAATGTCAACTTAGAACCAAGAAAGGTCTTTCATTGTTACAACAATCAAACGCCAAGCTCTAATGCTGACAGAAGAATCATGTCTCAACATGCAAACAAGATTTTCTGTGCTTGTTGGCCATACTCTTAAAAGTGTTTACATTGTTTTATAGTTAATAAGCTTTACATCGTTTTTCAATTTCAACGATTTAAAGCTCAATGCGGACGACACGTGTTTCCTGAATACGACAAACAAAACAAAAAGTTGGGCAAACCAAATTATGTGCAAATGTCAACAGTACTATTCGGTAGATTAATTAGTCAAAGTATAAATATTGTTAAGGGCTGATGTAGGGAGATTTTCTAGCATAAACTTAACATCGTGATAAAGATAATATAAGAAAGTTGTAGCATATTTTTCGAGCGTATAAAGTTTTATTTGAAACAAAAGGGTATTTACACAATATGAATTCGATAAATATTACGTACCTGCAGGTTTAACTACTGGAAGAGGTAACGTGGTGTTTTGTTTCCCTCTTTGAAGAGGTTCATAGGCGTTCTCGCTGAAATGATAAATATTAACAAAATGAGTATATAACGCCCTGTAACTGAATAGAACATAACATATTACAAAGTAGCCGTGGAGATATACTTACTAGAGCTATGAGCCGAAATTTTACCCACAATGTTTTTCTACATGCTGTCTTTTACAAAAATGTTAAATTAACGTGCTTGAAATATCGTTTTAGGTTAGTACTTGGCTCGTACCATTTTTGTCAAAAACCTACTAGTTAAGTTGTCTTTTTAATTCAATATGTTAATTGTCGCATGTGACCAAAACCATAGTGACACCAAAAGTGATTTTTCTGCACAAAAATGTTCAACTTTATCAATCGGTTCATTTATAAATAACATTTAGTATAATTTTGAAAAGTTTGAATATATTTTGTTGGCAATTTTAAGGCAAAATAAGGGTTCGTTGTCTCTTTATATCGTTATTTTTTTTTATTATTTTACCATACTTCCTACAAATGCAAGTAGTTGTTCTATTATCATGACATCTAACTATCGAAAAAAATCAAAAGGAAATTCCAAAAATGATAAAAATAAATCCCATTTTTCCTCACATAAAAAACGATGGTTTTAATAAGTTAGTGAAAGACTTTATTTGCCATCATAAATCTGGCTTAATATTAAGTGTCAATGTATAACGTAATATGAACACATTATTTATGTCACTTATGGTAAAATATAAATCATACGGTGAAACCGTGAAAATCCTTACCAATTGTCTTTAGCTGCTACGTTTGAGTCTATTTTGCCTGAAAAAGTTAGTAGTTTTCAGGATTTATCATTCATATTAAAAAAATCAAACTACAATACATTATAATTCTTATAATTATCTCTCCTTATAGGAAGTTGTTCAACGCATAGTGCATTTGCATATCATTTACTACAGCAATTTCTTTAAATGATATCTCTTTTGGAAATGTTTTCGAAAAATCTAAGCCATACGTTCAATTTCGGATTTTACAATATGTTAAATTGTCTTGCTTTTCTTATTATTTAAGATCTAAATACTGTCTGTTCACGTCAAAACTATCAGGCAACACCTTATAGGAGTTATTGCCCTTAGGGAGTAGGCCTTGGTAACCCCAAATCTTTCCTCTCGTTTATTTTTTCATACATTTACAACATTGAAATGGTAGGGGTCCATGCATCATCTGCCAAAGTCTTGTGGAATTCACCGTTGCATTTTATGTTTAGGGTATATTGAATATGACCAGTTAAGGGGTTCCAAAACAAACGGTAAAAAACTAGTAGGCATATAGTATTGTGTGTTTTTGCATAATTAAATTATGTTCTTCACAGGAATACCCATGACTCTACAAATGCGTAGAAAAAACACAATCTAAAGTAAATTTGAAATTAACGGTAATATTTGTATCCTGAATGTAAATAAATTGTTTAAAATTAATTAATAAATTGAAAATTATGGCCAGCTCAGACAACACATTTATTTTTCTAACTTTTCCTGAAAAAAATAATATCGTTTAATTCCTGAAAAAAAATTGCAGAAACTATTATCATTTATAAACCTTGAAAATTACAAGCTTTTATTGAATTTGACCGTTTGAAATTGACAAAACCTTCAAACAATATGGCTTACAGACCTAAGAAAAAAGGATTTTTTTGTTGTTGACAAAATCCATTTTTTTCTTTAAAAGCTTCTACAGTTTCTCTATTCATTATTTTTGTGTGCATACGTGAAAATTGTATGGTCCCAATAATAACCGTAGTCAAGTTTATTAGGAAAAGCAGCAAAATTTAGTATGGATCGATTACCCTTAAGACGAATTGACATCTCAACATTATAACACGTAATGTTGGTGTCTCTCCCCAAGACTATAAAATGCCCCTGTCAGCAGACGCTAAATTCAATGTTTTGACAGTTTGTCACTATCTAAGTACTATATTTGCATTAGCTAATGTAGGTTACTAGTTAGCATTACCTTGTACTATGATGGGTGTTCAGATCATATCTTCTAGAATATTGCCGTTTGTATGTATTTAAAAAACCAAGGACATACAGTAAAGCACATTTTATAAACCTCAAACCTTCCAAGATTTTATCTAAATGATTTCAAGAGTCATTCCAAAAATTCCTCAATACATATTATGTTGATGCATTTCGTGAATGACTATTAATTTTCTACCTTTTCAGCATTAGATTTTTAGAATCTTTAATTAATAAATGTAATTCCTTAATTTAATACTTGCTGAAGTCAACCTTGTACAACTTTCTAAATGCTCCTGCATCACTCTTAAAACCAAATGTAAACAACATAAATGGTTGATCACTGTTTCAATTACTGCTACGTTAAAACGCACAAATGACTTCCAATATATTGGAAAGAGTTGTCTCCCATACCCAGGTCTACCCCTTTAAGAGCAGTGGTTGGTCTGTACAGCGAATAGAAACAATTTGAATCCCGAAACATTGGTAAGAATATGCTAAAGCCAAGAGACAGAGTTAAGTGTTAGTCTGTGTGTCATATTCCAACCCATCGAAATTTATCGGATATATACATATTATGTGTGTCCTTAACGTACATGTATCATGTTGTTTTAACAGATATCATTTATGTAGTATCAATTTAAATTTCACTGAAAATCTCTTTCCAAAACAAGTGCAGTGTATTAAGCGATGAAAGGCAACATTTTGAATTGGAGATATATTCCTTTTTCCATTATTTATGAACAAGGGAAGCTATTTCTTATTTTATATATTACCTTACATTACTATTTTGACAACAAATGTACGATAAATATTTTTTTAATATTTATGGTAATACACAAAACTGGAATATCTGAGTATATTAAATTGTTTGACATGTTCATGGATAGGATAAAAGAATATTCACCTTAAATGTAATCTTTACCCTAAACACTATATATAATAATCCTGCCACATGAACATTTGCCACACAAATAATTTTTTTTTGTGTTTCTCTTTTTTCTCTGTGAAATAAATTTCTGTTCAAGACTTCCTGCGATTTAGAGTTGTCTATTTTCGAAAACAGTATGTTCTCTTCTAGATGTGTATAGTTGTGTTACACGGCTTGTGTTTTATTTGCTTTTATTTTATGTTGTTTAATTTAAAGTAAATACCCTCTGAACCATCAAATCCAGGATTACTATACTCAGACGTGGGTTGTGTATTTTCATATATTCCTTCTTTCCCCTTTGATGATCTATAAGATACAGAACTAATAGAAATATTCGCAACGTCAAACACAGATTAACAGTGTAAATTACAAATCATATGATAACAATCTGGGTACTTATTAAACGAATTTTATATGATAGATATGGCCGTGTTTTTAAGTTTGATTACCTCCATCTCATTTTAAACCAGAATTAGATATTTAATGGATGATTGAGTATTTTACTCTCTTTAGTTTTAATGAGATGTTCTTGTTTTCCTACTTTGCTTCCATGCATCTTGGGAAGAATGTCTTTTGTGAAATAACAGACAGCTTTCCAACGATTTGCACAATACTTGAGGGGCTATCTGCTATCAATTACATTTTTTATCCAGTACCAACACATGATTTACCATCGAGATGAGGTTATATATATAGAACATAATTCTAATATAACAATAAATCAAAATACACATATAATCTGCACCATATTTGAAAAATATGATTTTCAATTATTCACATAGGGTCACTGCTGGTGGACTGTTAATCACCGAGAGTATCTCAGGTCAGTAATTGGTGCTTCAGTATCAACACTATTTATAACATAGTTCTCTTAAAGTTTTCGTTGATAAATATAGAAATTAATTAGAAACTAAGGTTCCAACTCCATCAGGCAAAGTTGAACTCAGACGAATTTGGCTTTCAAGTTTTGTATTTTTTTGTGAAGAAAAATCCATAAAAGCACATCCAAAGGACGGAATTTAACAGGTATAGTTGCAAAATGGTGCAAAATTTGTTTGTATAAACCAAATATTTTCTAACTCTTAATTTCAACGGTATGAGGCATATTTTAAAACTCTTTACATAGAAAATCTACACATATACTACATTGTTTTGATAAACCATTAATATTTAAATTGCAAAAGACATACAATGCTACTGAGTATTGATTTTTACAAAAAGTACAAATCTGATTGTGGCAAAAGACCAAGATAATGACAATTTGTAACATTTAAATTTGTAGGTTCTGGAAACTTTAAATACTTTTTGTTATTACAAAAACATGAAATGGTACCAACTTCAATCTGCTTACCTTAATATTTTTGTGAAACATTTGTGGATACAACTTTGACTATGTGTGTCTCCAAATCCTGAAGATTAACGCACAAGAGAAATAACATATTTTAAGTGTAGAAAAAAAGTGAAATAACAAAAATACAAAACTTCAAAAACAACAAGAAAACGCATCTAGCCATGTTTGTTCTCCATTTTCTGATATATTGATTATTTACCATCCCTCAATAAGCCTAAATTAAGTGAGTGCTTTCAATTCATGTATCCCAGTGAATAAGAAATTAAGGATACTATCGACACTTGAAGGATTGTTCGTGTCTTGATCTTTTCCTTGATATATACACATGGACGACTTTAAGCTAAACTTTAATACAAACGCGATGATTTCAGCTAAACAGTTATTAAGTTCCAATTACCTAGCAGTAACACACCCTTTGCATCATCGCATTACTTTTACATATCTCCATAAGTTAGCTACGGTCGAGTAATTCCCTATTAAATTGACTTCGTGAACAGAATTATGCCCCTAACAGAACAATTTCTACAACAGGGATATGAGGAACAACGATTAAAATAGTCACTAGTTGTACGGTCACAATTACAAATTGGTTGACTGATACCATGTGTCTGGTTCAACTAACTAGCGAATTTTTTTGGTATTTGATCTTTAGATACCTGAATAGTCGTCTAAACTATACAGTAAGTGATTTTGTCCAACTCCCTATTGGAGTATGTATTCGAATGTATAGCGTACTAGTACCTTTTCGAAGCTCCCAAACTCGCTCCTTTGTGAGTTCATGCGATTCTTCAAAGTTTTTTTGTTGTCGTTGCATGTGTGTTCTAAATAAATTCTATGTTGCATCTAATATCTTACCTCCTCCCCAAGGGTGACTGGAGAATAGAAATATGGCCATTACGGGTCTTCTTCCGACCGACAGTAAAACCCTTGCCAAGTCGGGCGTACGTTTGGCTGTGCGGGATGTATCAAGTACGCAGTCACGTCCGGTCAGAATAGAGATGTTAAATCCGATGCTTCGTGTAAAGAGAGTACCAGGCTCTCTGCACGTTAAGAACCCTTGCTACAACTCTTTGAGAGATCCGTCAGTGGTCTGTTGCAAGGCGAAATTTCTCTCCCTATCCAATTAACCCTCTTTTGCAGTGGTAGTCTAAATTGTCCCAACCTTCATCCCGGCCGGCCTCTTATTACAGGACCTACCTACTGTATTTATTGTTAATTTGTTCTCGTCCTGACATGCATGAACTATTTGCCACTGGACGTTAACCAACCAACAATCAATCTAACATCTTACCAGTTTGATAAACCACACGTTGATTACATTTGTCTTGTTTTATAAACGTAATATCAATTTGGAACATTGTTCTAGCTCTTACATTTTTCATTTATGTTTGTAAAATTCCTAAAGCCGTGTGCAATTTTCAAAGCAGAACCTTTTGCTAATGACGGTGTCTCTACTTGTTATTTCTCGCATATTCATTGTGAATATAGCGTTTGTAATGCTTAAAATGTCTTAATGAATTATTTAATTTCAAAAATAAATCACTTACTATACAACAGCATCAAAGTTATAATTACAGCAAAAACCAACAAAGCAAGAATAATCAAACTTATTCCTCCTATCAAAGCACCATTCACTTGGGAATCTACCGCTTCAGATGCTGAAAAAAGAATATATTGAATACAATATATCGATGTCTTGGAAGATTAATTCAAGACTATACTGACACAAACGATTTTTGTGTTCTTTTCACTATAATATTGACTTTTGTAACTATAGATTGCTTATTTGTTTATCTATATTTTTAAAACACGTCTCAAAATCAAGACAGATGTAACGTATCTCCATATTTACACAATTATTAAATCTCATTGGTGTATCTTAACAATTCTTTCGTCGAAAGAGATACCGTTATATCATTTTAAATGGAAAATATATACTTTGAAATGTCCTTTCCAGAAAGGCTGAGTCCAACTGCGGCATTTATGTAATATTAAATCACCGACATTGTGATGCTTGCTCCTTGCTGCATAAAGAGGAGAGAATTGTAGTTGAACTTTGTTCCCAATTCTAGTGTGATCCTGGTATGTTCAGGGAAAACAATGACCCGGTAGTACAACGTCTACATCCAACCTTTACTTTGCAATTATTGCGTCAGACATAATTTGAATTGTGGAACCTGAAATTGATTCTCTTTATTCATACAAGTCTCATTGACATCGTTCAAGAAATATTAGTAGCTAGGACTTATATTTTATTTTTTGTTGTCTCGAGCATCCCCAATGAAGGTTGTTCTAAAACAGGTTACTTTTACACTATAACTCGAACCAGACGTTTATTTCCTAATTCGTCTTCTTATAATCTTCTTGTTTCCTACAGATTTTATTCTATGAAACATCTATATTACTTTTGATCTTACACAGACACACCACCTTTGTAGAATTTTGAAAATTAGTCATCTTGGATTGTACATACCAAAAGTTTTACAGCTAACCTCTTCCGACTCCGCACGTCCTAAATAGTTTCCTGATGATATTTTAAACATGTAATTTGTCAATGGTGTCAGGTTTTCTATATGTATGAGATAAATGTTTTGTTGATTTGTGGAGTTAGAGACACCACGAGTTTGCCCTGATTTACTGTTTGTTCTGTAATGTATTGTATAGTTTTGCGTAGGCAAAACGGTCAGATCTGGAATCCAGGCAATTGAAACTGTTGAAGATCCGGTGCAATCCAAAGTCAGTTTTGTTATCTTGGTAGGTAATGCTGAAAAGTACATTTAAGTATTGATAATATATTACTTCATAATTTAATTATACATCATGACACATTGCCAATTTAATGTATTTGCACTTTCGATATCATTTAAATGAGTAGAAAAAATTGCCCGTCTCAATGACACCGCTTTACAAAATTTGAAAATTAGAAATAATTCATTGATTGAAAGAAAAGTGAAATGAGCCCAGATGCATCACCTATTTTAAAGTGAACTAAACTTACTGTGTACAATTATTGATACAGAAGCTTCAGCATAACGGTATGACGGATTTATGATGTTACGAGCTCTACATGTATAGGTATCAGTTGAAGTTCTCCTTATTGATGTTAACGTTAAATCTTTGTTTGCTGAGGACCAGGTATTTTGCCCAGTCCATTGATAACTGCAAGTAGGTCTACAGTCAGCTGTACATATCACACGAACAGTCGTATATTCTCGGACAATAAAGGGTGAGTTGGTTGGTGACAATCGTATTGATTCCGGAGGATCTAAAAAGAACTGAAATGATTATATCACTTGATTTCACAAGTGATAAAAAAAATGTTGATGCCGATTTTAGTGTTACGCTGATTGTTACAGAACTAAGGTTATGTTTTGATATCAGTATAATTTTTACTAATATTAAAACTAACTGTAATCGCTTGTTCAAAACAATGTTTATGTATTGCTTTTTGTTTACGTTACTTAACTTCTTCTTTTATTCATATATATATAAAACAAAACAAAAACACAAAAAAAAATATGAGCAAACCTTGCGGAGTTACGGAATGACAAACTGATCAATTCAATTTGAGTGCGCATTTTATTGATTCATAGTTAGTTTGTCTATAAATATATCTCCACCGGACGTTAAGAAACCTTCAGTCAACCAAAATAAATATATCTTGATTTTGTACGTGCATATATACATTTACAATTATACATATTTTAAAAAATGGTAAAGTTAATAAGATGTTTGGATTTTTAAAGCAGTTTAGATTTCTTATTGTAATGTCAAAAATATATATTCAACTAAATGTCGAACCATTGTACTAGCCTAGGAGTCTTTAAAAATAACACAACTTACAATTTACTGTAACCGTAATGGTTTTCTCTGAATAACCGATGAGGTTGTATCCTTTACATTTGTATACACCATCTTGTGTCCTATTTAGTCGACCAATCATTAACGTGCTACCCGGGTACTTTGTACCATCTTGATACGTCCATTCGAAAGTACACGACGGTTTGCAATCAGCCGAACATGTTATGTTCCATAACGATTCTCCTTCCAGTTTTGTATAACTTGTACTTGATGGCGAAAAGAAAATGCTGTTCCCAGGATCATCTGAAATTTATTGAATTCATATGAAAACTGCTTTCATGCTACTAGTAGTTCAATTCATATGCATTTCAAAAGTGTGAGTTTATGAAAGTTATAATCTTTGTAAAATGACAACACATTGTATATATATCTTAACCGAATAAAAAAGTATCTTCTATGCAAAAAATACTTGACAGTAGAAACTTGGTCATTAAGATAATTTTGAGATATAATAGATTAAAAACTAGAATAATCGCCTTTAGTTCAAGGGGTCGTTAGTGTGATTCTTGGCAAGTCAAATCAAACACTGTTACAATTGGTATTTGCTGCTTCTCCCTTAAGTATGTGGGATTCAGATTAATAAGCAAAGTCTGGTCTTTCAGAGTCGACAAAAAATTCCGAGTAGGATAAAATGTCTTTCTGTGAACTGTTAACTTGTAATATAACACACTTATGATCCGATTCATCATGTCAATTAAGGACAAAAGTTCCTTTTTTTTTTACCATGTTATCGCCCTAAATATAAATGTTGCATTAGCCACATTATACAGCAACAAATTAGTAATCGCCAATCATAACTAGAGGCTCTAAAGCGCATGGGTCGACAATGTTGACTCATTTGTAGCTTTGCACATACATTTTAATGTTTACAGTTTTTCCTTAGTTACCATAGTTTGTGCTAAATATGCAAAAGATGGGTAAACATCTTCATAAAAGGCCAATAACTCATATAAGGAATCATACGAAGATTTCTGTCATGTTGACAAAGTTAATCTTGTTCTTTAGGTCATTGTTGCTGTTTATAAATCTCTGCATATATTATAGTTTCAAAAAAAAATGAGCAAAACTGTCAAAAGTTGGCAAAGATCGTCGTTTAAGGGTAATAATTCCTGCATAGAGTCGACCAGCGACGAATATCAAATGTCTCTCTATCTATTATTTTTTTCACGGTAAAAGGCAAAATATTTTTTTTCAAACGGCAAAAGTCATAACTTACGTGTAAGAAGTCGTCCCACAGTTTTGATGAAAATATACGATAGAACTTTACATGTTGATCAATATTGTCCCAGTCAGATTTTCTCTATTTACAGCGGTTTTCGAGATAGCAGACACAACTTTTTACGATACATTTTACCAACATGTTCAATTTACAGCCATGTTGGCCATTTTTGTTTTTAGGCGGGTCATCGGACACTTTTTTGTCAACTAAATACCTAATGATGATTAATGTCAAGTTTGGTTCCAATTGACACTCGGTTCAGGGGAGAAGATTAGTTTTACTATTAATGGTCGACGACGAAGACAGACGGTAGACGTCGGACGCCGAGAAATAGAAAGTGCTCACTCGACCCTTAAAATTTTAAAACACATTTGGGTCTCCATTTGTTTGTATAGAAATTAAATGAATTAAGATATAAGCGTAAAGCCCAACTCGAGTAAAAAACATGTGTGGTAAGCTACACTTTATGTCCGTCACCGTACATCATTTTGACCAATTTATTTTATTGAGTACATATTCTGGTAATAGAGGAAGAACCGTTCTGTAAGAAAATCTAGAAACCGTCCTTCACAAAGACGTGTGCAACAATAAGTTTTGTTTCAAAATTTGCTTAACAAGATTCAAGATTTTTATTGACCAATCATGGACCCAAAAGGGGCATATACTCCAAATATGAAAAAATCACAATGATTTTAGCATGTATTAACAATCGTGTTGAGACAAGATGAAAAAATAAGTATTTTGTTTAGAGCTGAGGACATATTTATTATTTCAATAACAAGTAGAATGGATGATATTCAGATGATAATTAGATCAAATGATGTATCCCGTTAACACTCAACTAAGATATTTTACCAATTATGGAGTTCGAAAATATTTTCATGAAGATTGAAATAGAAAATGGAAAGGTAGTATAAGTTCCATGTTAAAAAAAATCATTTTTATGATAGTCAGGACGAGAACAAATTAACAATACATCCAATTATAGGTAAGTCCTGTAACACAGGCTGTCTGGATGAAAGTCGGTAGAATTTTGAAGGACATTAAAAAATGAAGGTATATTGGATATGAGCAGAAATTTTGCAAAGCAACAGACACCTACGGGCCCCTCGCAGAATTCGGACGTTCTTAAAAAAGGGATCGTCTCTGCGATAGGATACAAATCTTTTCTTAACCGGTTTAAAATGTTTCCTTTTCAGTATTTTGTGAAAATTTTACTTACAATCTACTGTAACAGTAACGATTTTTTCTTTATATCCGACATCGTTGAATCCTTTGCACTTGTAAATTCCATCATGATTCTTTTGTAAATAAGATAGAACTAAAGATGCGCCATTACGTTTTGTGCCATCAGGGTATGTCCACTCAAACCGACAAGCTGGATTACAATCAGCCGTACACATGATGCTACCAAGTGAATCTCCTTCTTTCTTTGAGTAATTGGAATTCGAAGGTGATAGCAAAATTTCTCTGGGACCAACTGTAATGTAAATGATATATTTGAAACACATACTTGAAATTAGGGGCAGTCTTTCAATAATTTCAGATTTAAGGCTGATGGTTAAACTGGTTGATAATTTTAATTAATTAATTAATTTAATAAAATTGAGAAAGGAAACGGGGAATGTGTCAAAGATATCACTACCCGACAAAAGAGCAGAAAACTGCCCAAGGCCACCAATCTTTTTAATCAGATACTTGCTTTCGATGGAATTTTTATCAGAAAATAAATAATAATAATAAACATGCATAAGGAAATTATTGTATACAACTGAAGACGATTTGACGCAAACATATTACCGAATAATACTTATTGTTTTAACATAGCACCACATATTTAATGGAGATTTCTTTGTAAAACAACAATGTAATGTTTGCTGATTTCCTAACTAGGCTTAAATTATATAATCATTACTAAAAATGAGCATTTCCGATAAGTTTAAGATATTGCTTCTTGACTGGTATTGCATTCCGTACTTTTCCCCTAAAGTGAGGATCCGAGGACGTTTTCAAAACGATATTTGCACGCACGCAGTTAAGAGGTAAACAATATAGGAGAAATTGACAATCAATCGTTTCTGCAGTTATCAGAGCAGTAGGAAATGGACGAAGTATTATCAATGTTGCTGAATATGTGATGCTATATCATAAAAGGGTATGTGTACTTATATTGAGGAATATGAATTTGTCCAGAACAGTATAGCTTATTGAACGAGCAATCGCAATCTTGTGCAATCTGATATATTCCTGAATAATAGTGTTATCACCCTATATTATGATCGTATTACAAGAGGGCAAGGGTAGTTGCGGGCAGCAAAACTTTTAAGAATTTCAACTATAGTTTATCTAAACATTATAAACAATTTGGAGTATAAACTAAACATTATAAACAATTTGGAGTATCTTGAAATCTTTACTCACAGTTTATCGTAACCGTTAAAGCTGATGTTTTATGGCCGAAGTAATTAAATGCTCTGCATGTGTATTTTCCATCATTTGTTCGTTGTAATGATTCGATTTGTAAAATGCTGCTGTTATGTTTAGTATTATTTGGATACGTCCACTCAAAATTGCATGCAGGTTCACATAAAGCTGAACATGTTACGTTTAGGGAATCACCCTCTTCCTTTGTATAATATGTAATCGATGGAAAAAGCGATATATTATTAGGACTATCTGTAACAAAATTGATTAATTTAAAAGATAATACAATATTTTATTTCATGTCAATAATAAACGAAATTTGATCAATTACCAACACATTGATGCCATTTAAAAAAAAAAGAAAATCACCATCAATTGGGTTTAATTTTTATCTCTTTTCAGTACAAATTACGAAGGCAAAAGAGAATGCGTCAGTGACGACGTAAGGCCTCGAGCCGAATAGTTTATAACATACATGTTTGCGCGAATGTTACCAGTTGGAAAGTCAAAACGCATATAACTGGATTTTTTCTATATAAAACAATTTACTTGACTTTTATTAAAAAAGATATGATTTCCGGAATTTTGTCAAAATAAGCTAAGAAACATCGCTGATGAATTATTCACTTGCAAGTGAATAATTCGACCTCATGGAATCCGTATTCATGTGACCTTCAATTTAACCCATTAGCTAGAGATTGGTAACGCTTGTATTAGTAGTGTTCAGCCATTAAAAGGAAAAGAATGTCAACATTGAAAGTGAAACAAAGGTGAACCATTTCGTTGACTGATTCGATCCACAAAAAATCATTCTTATACAGGTAAAACGATGATTAACTTATTTTTTTTAACCCATACCATGAAATCAAACAGACCTAGAAAAGTCCCATTGCACAGCTTATGCCCTTTTAAAAACAAGAAAACTGAACTTAATTTATTGACCATTTTATATAAACTTGTGCATGATTGATCTCTACTCGCCAATTGTTCACCAATATACAATTTGAAAATACACTAAACAGATGGAGTGTATCATCTACGAGACAAATAAAGGAAAGCAGTCTTTGAATTTGTATGGATATGCAATGTACTTTCCGTATGAATACTAAGTTCAAAAATAGAGAAATTCCCTGGAGATGCACACATTAAATATGCAAATGTACAATAAGGATTGACCGAGTATATTGCTAATGGGGACAAATAAACATAACCATGATATTGATGAACGCAAATTATAAAAACAACAAATTCGCTACAAAATAAAGGAGAATGCTTCTGATATTTCCAAACGTCCGTTTAAAATAAGAACTACAGACAAATGGTAAAAGTCATCTTTTGCCACAAGACTTGAAGAGCCTACCTATGACATTCTTTGTTCAAAGAACGAAGATGAATTTAGCCTATCCTACCAAATACAAGGAAAAGGTCCATGACTGATTACAGTATTTGACAAGAGAAAAACAAAGGTTAAAATAAAAAAATAAAATGATATATAATATAAAACAACAACCTCTATACAAAAACTACACTCCACGAAAACCAAATAAGATACTAGTAGACAGCAACCAAAAACATACTTCATTTTTCTAAAAAAGAAATCAGATTAATCTCAGGGTTGAAACAAAGATAAATTCGCACAAAAGCAATATTTTTCAAAATCCAAATTCGCGCAAATGCGGTTTGCCATAAAATATATAAAATGGTGACTCAATAAGTGCAATACGTTTTTTCTTTTGTATATTTAGATATTTTTGATGTTTTTTACAGCTAAGAAAATTAATTATACTGGCGAAATACAACCGAATCTTAAAAACTACAATTCTGGTTCACGAAGATATTCTCAGAAGAAGTTTGTTATAGTCCTGCAGATCGGTGACAAAATTGGGGGTTTGATGATAAAAGCATCAAATTTGGCATGGTAGTAGTTATGGGTGTTTCAAACAATATTAGCTATGGACCCACCTTGAAATTTCAACATGGCGGCTTTTTACAAGATTGCCGTCTCAAAATATCAAGATTAACAAATATCACTTAATATATAAGTTCCATGTTGGCATGTTAGTAGTGCAGGGTGCTTCAAACAAAATAAGCTATGGACCAAAATTGAAATTTTAATATACGGCTTTTCCCAAGATGGCCGCCATAAGATATTAAAAATCAACAAATATTCCTTATATATGTAACACTCCAAAACGTGTCCATCCAACCAAACGTGTCCGATCCCCCAAACATGTCTGTTTTGCCCAAACGTGTCCTTAAAATCCCAAAATCGCCCAAACGTGTCCAATTTCACATCCCCCAAACGTGTCCGATAATTGTTATTCGCCATACCGTGTCCACTTTAAGACGCATGAACGTCTCAAAACTTTACGCGCTATATTATGTCCTCAGTGACGTCTGTGACATTAATGGCAATTCAATCTTTTAGAGGACACGATTAAAGATGTCGGGTTGCGATTGGAGATTAAAGCTGCATTCAAGAGACATAAATGCTGAATTATGTTAGCACAATTACTGGAATTAAAAAAAGGAACAGAGTTGACAGAAGAAAATCCAAAATAACATTAATTAACTTTTTAATGTTGATTGCTTAAAGTCCAGTTACAAATATTTCATGCATATTCAGGATAAACAGGCAACCGCAACAATCTGCATGTATGACAACGCTACGTGAATAAGCTTTATATACAGGTAGTTCAAGAAGACATGATGTAGGCAAAAGTCTTTTCAACAGTAATCAAAAACATTAGTTGATAATCGTTTTGGTAAATATTCAGATGCAGTCGAATTATTTTATTGAGGCAAATACGACGCTATCCATTTCGAAGTTAATTCTGTTTTATTCTTCTTCAATCCTTCATTCAAGTCAACTAGAACCATCTCATAATGTACACAACCCTTCTACTGGATGCTAGGACCAGTAGAGGAGGTACTAAATGACAAAATGTAGAGTTTACATTGGTCGTATATGTATGATCCAATTATCCGTTTATCTTCACTCAGTACTTGAAGATTCCATCTATGGAACATTAAGTATTGGATATGTGGATCCTTCCGCGAATCCTGGTGGTTTTATAATAGAAGCCGTTGACAAAATTGACAACAAGAGTTCAACTACGACTGAAGAATCGTTACACAGTACGGACATTTCAATATTTCAGCATTTATTTAGTCTATCATTGCAAATTCGTCATAACCTAATGCTTTGAAATATATGCATTTCCCTTATATTCTCTGGAACTTTCACTAATATATTATGCGCCAGCACACATTTTGCTTTATTGCTATAACTTAGTATATAATTATATTACCATAGAATAAGATATATCCTTAACAATAACCAAAGATAACCATGCGTTTCATACATATATCAATAATAACCGTTTTATGGACATGTACTCTGTCAATTGTCTAACGATATAATTAGTCTATTGTGCAACTCTAACCTTACATGGTATGCATAAGTTAAAAAAAATGATAACAGATAGATTGAAGCAGATGATAATGAAATCATTAAGTATGTTTTCTGAGACATGTATCAACTATCACTTGTGATCAATCGATTTTTGATTTTGCCAAATCGAACAGTTGAACTGGGCAAACATATTTTAGCATAACAAAAAGTTGTTTTGTTTTGGGTATTCATATAGAAATGGCATCGTTGAAACCTTATGTGATTGGTTAGAAAACAGTAATTGAACAATTGTTCAAACAAGGATACATTGTACGTGTACATCATGAACAACAGATTCATTTTAGAGACTCTTATGCATCATGAACAAGACATTGCCATAAGGTTACCATAGGTGTACTTATCTTTCTAACATAAAAATTCTGACATAATTTTTACTGAGGAACAAGACCCTTGTGAGAACTATGTAACATTCAAAGAATGCAGTAATAAGATGAGATTGGGTCCACGTAACCACAATTGGTCTGTAACATTAAACTGAATTGGACATTTTGATGTGAGATTATCTAGAGAACGTTCCTTCTGCGTTTATATGTATTTCATTATACTGCTTATATAATTTTTTTTCCATTTTACCATCCTAATTATGGTTTCTAGTACCCGTGTGCGACATAATGAGATTCAACTATACAGTTCAAGTGTTTCATACGTAGTTTGAAAATGGTAAATTTAGATCAAGCCCATGAGAAGAATTACATACTTGTAAAAGGAGAAGGTTGGGCAATCGGATTAACCGTTAATATCGCACAAATACAGCATTTAACATGTTTAAATATGGTGTCTTGTCCAGAAATGGCTATAGTAATTATCTGGATATATATATCTATAATTGTGCAAAGTTTCATTCTTTCATCATCAAACCTACAATTTCTCTAAAAATATGCACGAATTTGTTGGCCTAATATCTCATGATATTACAAAGACAAACACATACTTTAAACATATTTATTATCAAAACAAGAAAAACTACAACGGAAAAGACACATGCTATTAACTTTCGAGGTCTTAAAAATAAAATTTCATCAATAAGATAACATGATAAAAACTTAAAATATTTAAACTAATACAACAAATTCATATTTTGGAAAATATATGTACTCCAACTTCTATTAAAAATGAATTAACATTCTAATATATAAAGCTTTAAGACATTTTGATTTTAACATTTTAATATTAGTAAGAAAGGTTAACTTTCTATAAAAAAAACAAAAGACCAAGAAATATGGTTTCATCAACCATTCTAATCTGGTTGCCGTATAAGTAAAGTTCAGGATCTAGATGCAATTTCCGTTTGATGCAGAAATGCATACCGACGGTTTTAAAATCATTTTCAGAAGCCCATTTTTCAATTCTACCAAGACATAATTGTAATTGACGTTCTATATAACTCATATTTTGGCCTCTGTAACAGATTAAGAAATCATCAACGTACAAAGAACCTTCCATATTGCTTTAAAAAACTTCTACAAGACTGGTAATTTTCAAACTGAACAATTATAACAGACAACATACTCCACTGAGGGACACCCAGCTCCTTATTATAAAGATCAGACATGACTGAGTTAACTCTAACATTTAATTGCCTGTTAGAAAGAAAATTCGACATGAAATTTGGCACATGCCTTTCAACCTATATCAAAAAGATCTTTTAAAATACCATACTTCCAAGTAGTGTCATTGGCCCTTTCAAGGCCGATAAAGACTGACACTACATGCTCATTTTGCGCAAGACCATTACGGATGAAAGATTCAAACCGAACAAGATGATCAAGAGTACTACGGCCCTGTCGGAATCCGTACTGGATATTGGCTAAAAGCCCATTAGATTCCAGGAACCACACAAGGCGATCGTTGACCATCCGGTCAGCATTTTGCAGACACAACTGGTAAGAGCAATTGGTCGATAATTTACAGGATCCGTATGATCTTTATTTGGAGTAGGCACGACGTTGGCAAGATTCCATATAGATTGTAAATCACCAGATTCCCAGATGTTATTCATGAGCTCTAGAAGAGCTTCAAGCGAGGAATTGATAGTGGATATTATCAGGACCACAAGCTGTATCATGGGCCTTAGATAAAGATGTTTTAAGTTCTTCCAATAAAAAGAGTTTATTGTTATTTTCCCCATTTTTCGATTTAAAGTTCAATTTTGTTTTTTATTTTTATGTTTTAAATTTCTGAAAATCTTCTTTGTAATTATCAGAAGAAGAAGATTTCGAAACAGTTTCACCTAGCTTGTTGGCAATATCTTTTTCCGATGTTAATAAAGTATTGCCTTCCTTTAAACGTTTGACCGTTGGTTTAGAATGTTTACTTTTGATCCTTTGAATCATGTTCCATACTTTTGTCATCGGAGTGCGATATGTTATTCCCGAGACAAAATTTGCCAAGAAGAACGCCGAGCTTGTTTGCATGTCCGTCGTGCATTTGCACGAAAAATAAGAAAATTGCGATGGTTTTCCGATATAGGTTGTTTATTAAACCGTCTTTCGGATGTTTTACGGTTATTTATAGCTTGATCACAATCGACATCAAACCATGGTTTGCTGGGATGTTTCAGATTTGCTGAGATCTTATGAATTGTTCTGTCAGCAATTGACGTTAAAACTATATTAAGAGTTAAAATTGGATCTTCAACAGCCTCAAACATCTTCGACTGTAATTCCTCTCTGCAGAGAGTCTCAAACAAAGGTCAATCAGCCTTGTTCAGTTTCCAACGAGGGACTCTCTGTTGAGCAGAAGTAAAGAGATGCTCAAGTATTATTGGAAAGTGATCACTTCCACAAAGATCATCGTGTACACGCCACGAACAATAATGCAGAAGAGAAGGATCGCATATAGTTAAATCAATAGAAGAAAAGGCACCGTTTCCAGGATGAAGATAAGTATCCGATCCATCATTAAAAATGCACAAGCCTTCTTGAGACACAAAGTATTCTATAATTTTGCCTTTATCATCCAAAGATTTGTTTCCCCATATTGGATTATGGGCATTGAAATCCCCCATCAGAATACAAGGTGAGGGTAACTGGTCAGTTAAATTTTAAGTTTGTTTTATCATTTGTAGAACTAGGAGGAATATTAATTGAACATAAAGTAATTTTTTTATCCAAGGATAATTGAACATCAACTACCTGCAGATCTGTGGTGAGTTGGGCCGTACTATGAAGGACTTTGCCCTTCACAAGAACTGTTGAACCTCCAGCAGCACGGTCATCTTCCCTAGAAAAAGTACTATACATGATCTATCCCTTTAAAGAGATATTTTTACTTTCTTTTAATTGAGTTTCTTGAAGACAAAAAACAACAGGTAAAAAAGGCTGAACTAAAAGTGTTAACTCTAAAAAACCTCGGCAAATCCATTGGATAATATTGGTCATGAATTAGAAGCAGGGCGAATGTGATCAAATTTTCCAGCATTTTTCTTTCGATTATCCTGTGATTATGATTTTTCTGATGGAACAACATCATAGCACTCCATCTGCGAGTCCTCTAATCCAGCAAACCTACTTTGAGAAGTGAGAACTTTCTCTACTTGACTCGATTTTTTAATGAGGTTTTCCCACCTCGCCCCGTATCACGTCTCAGCTTTCTGGGAGGATGGTCTCATTGGTGATTCTGTGCCTTCCTTCGGGTTTAAACTACGAAGTTGAGACGGATGTTTGGGTGGCTTACTTTGGATCGATTCATTTTTAGTATTCACGGGCCAGATGTTTACACTACCCCAACAGTCGGGTTTTTCTGTAACTTTTACATTTGAAACTGGATTTTCATTTTTTGAAGAAGACTGCTAACTCTATAACGAAGATTTTGTTGATTGATCGGTTTTAGATTTGGTGGTTTTCTTGGAGTTATTGTTTTATCGGAAGGTTCCGTTTCAACAGGCAACATTATAAAAGTGTCAGCATCAATTGGCCAGGTCATGCGAGTTTGTGTAGTCTCATGACTGAATGAACGGTCAACTTTACTGGCATACGATGGTTTGTTTGAAACTAAAATATCATTCGAAACAGAAGCTATCTGTTTAGCTTCTGGGTAACTGATGTTTCTTTCTGTTTTGATTTGATTTGATTTTTTTTCTTTAAGGTAAACGGGACATTCCCTAGATGCTGAAAAATGGGATTCACCTCAGTTTGCATATTTAGAAGATTCAGAGTTACAAGTTGTTCCCTCATGCCCTTCGTCAGAACATGTAAAGCATTTCTGCCTACCATGACATTGTTTGATTCTATGACTAAACCTTTGACATTTGAAGCATCTAACTAGATTAGAAATAAACCGGTCAACTCTGATTCCGAAGCATCCCGATTTAATAGATGAAGGAGGAGTTGGAGTTCTAAAGGTCAAAAGATAAGTATTTAGTTTGATTATATTGCCATTCTTTTTGGTTTGAAATTTAACAACATCAGTTACACCTTGGTTTGAAAGTTTATCTTTAATTTCTTCCACGGTAAGGTCAGCCAGATAATGACTTCTGTCTCGAATGATTCCCATACTACTGTTTAAACTATTGTGAGGAGAGACAGACACAATAAAGTATGTAATGGTTTTCATTATCAGCAAATTTGTTGATGTGCTTTTGTTGGAATATTCAACCAACAAATTCCTTGATTTCATTTTCGAAACTTTTTTCACAGTACTAGCAGTGCTTTGAATTTGTTTGGGAATCACAAAAGGAGATAACTTTTAAATAGGTTTTTCATCTGTATATTTAATTACTATAAATTGGGGCCAACTGTCATCCGGACATGGCGCTGAGTCATCACATTTTCGTATTTTTATTTATTAAAGCTGATTGAAGGGGTTGGTTTTGGGGCGCAATAGGAAATGAGAAAGATTCACTATTCGTGTCATCCACCCACCTCGGAGTGCCTACAAGGGTGATGCTATGTTTCCATGGCGAGCTGGGGTCAAGTGCTAATGCTGAAAACGAGCTCCAAGTATAATGTAGCTCGTCCCCAAAATTAGCACCGAAGATCCTCTGGAAAGCACCAGATGCTCCAAGAATTGTATACTAAAGCAGAGCGTATTAATCAAGGGAATTAGAAAGCGTACCACTTGATTGACCCATGAGACGTCGCCTTCTTCAGTTATCCTAAGTATTAATAGCTTAATTTAAATACATGTGTATACATTGAAAATTGTTAAAAGAAAGCTTATTGTTGAAGAGTAATTGAAGGGCTCGACATGAACAGCCGATTGATCGGACCGGGTCCATCCTTCCTTTCGTTTAGATGATATCGGAGCCAAAGCAGCTTATTGAAACTGTAGTCTCGTCCGTCCGGGTATTATTTGGTACGGAGTCTGGCTACAGTCCTCATCCACAAGGATCTCGTCAACCACCGAAACTGGTAATAACCCACGGTCTACGGGCTATTAAGAAGATTACAAATAAAGATAAAAAAATTACTCGTCCAATAATGATACAAGGACATATAAGCACCAAAAGTACTTCTTTAACTTAAAACAGATGAAACAAACGCATTGTAAACAGTAATTATATATATATATATATATATAAACAAGTCTAAATTGAAAACAACGTTCAAACCTATGATTGCGTTGGATAAAAACCGCAATTTTTATACGTGTGCATGCAAAACAAATTTCTTGGCAGACATGGTAGAGGGGTCTAAATACAGCACACACAACATTTTCCAAAAGACCAAAATGAGTGAAAAAGTATATTTTAACAAAACGCATTTGACATATATATATACGCCCTTTAAATATATATGAAGTGAAAATGCCAGGACCTTAATCATACATGTTTTTTCTACTGAAAGAAAGTTAACACTTAAGTCTTTTTATGTCTCTATAATACAAAAAAAAAACAACAAGTAACTTACGTTGAACTTTAATTTCCATAAAGTTACTGTAATTTGTTCCTACGACATTTGTTGCTTGGCATTGGTACTTTCCAGAACTTGACTTTTTGATGTTGCTCAGTCTTAATTTATCATCATTGTTTATAAAATTGTTTGGCCCAGTCCATTTAAAACTACATTCTGGCCAACATAAAGCTGTGCATGTGAAATTGTGAACAGTTGCATTCTCTGTCACTCTAAATACTGGTATAGCAGGTGATATCGTTATACCTGACAACTCTAAATAAAACAAAAACACTTCTGTACGACTTCATCAAAAGTAGTTATGCGTAAGAATAATTGGTAACAGGTTTATATTTTACGAGACAAGTTACCATAGACTAATCATTGTTGCGTATAGTCATCATTTATTTCATTGTTATCCTTTATATTTCCAAACAATTGGATCATATTAAACCACTATTGCTAATACACCTAAATGTCACATGAAAGCACGACATGTTTTACATCGCAGATTCCTTGATAACGGTAAACTGATGTTAAAAGGAATCCATTGCTCTGTGCTTAAGTACACGGTACAGTTAACTTCAACAAAAGTAACATCCTCGAACACGTGGTGTGTTTGTTTGTATTGTTTGTGTAATGTCTTGTGAATTTATATTTCAAATGCCAATTCAACAAAAACAAAACAATAGAATATTATCTTATTTTACAGATTAAGGCGTTTGGAAAGTGGATTTCTTCTTTCGTGATATATAAGATTTTATATTGCCGAATTGTATTATAATTGTCTTGTTTATTGTTCTGGTACTCATTTATTAAACAAGAAGAAATATAATAAGGTAGGTTGAAATATCAATGTTTTATTGTTTAACGTGTCGTTAAAATGCTGTCTCATTGACTAAAATATTACATTTTATCTAATGTCAAGGCAAACAATAAAATGTTTACTCGTATGAGAAAATAATAACTGAGGTTTTTGTGAAATCGATTTGATCGATGTTATGTCTTTGTTTCTTAGTTTGATAATTTTTTATTTCGAAAAAGCAGATACAAACTATTTGTTCCCCGGAGAGAACCTTTAACCTTCGTTAGGAATACTAGTAATCGATGTGAATTTGTGTCGAACGCACTGTTTCTTGTGGGGTTCGAATTACAACCTCAGTGTTGAAAAACTAGTGATATGGTATATGAAATACTAAGATTGATGTCTCCTTTACGTCCAGTTGCCAATATTTCATGCATGTTCAAGACGACAAATTTACATATACGATACAAAAAGTAGGCCCTGTAATAGGAGGTCGTCAAGAATGGAGGTGGGAAATTAGGACTACAACTGGAAAATGAGGTATATTGGATAGGGATAGAAATGTTTTTGTTTTACAACAGGCCACATACGGAGCCCTCAAATAGTTATTGCAGTGGTTCTTAACGTGCAGAGATCGTGGCCCCCTATCTTCACGAGGCATCCGATTTAACGTCTCCATTTCGATAGGACATGACTGCATATTTAAACATACCGCATAGCCAAAAGGACACAGTTAGTGTTGCAATGGGCATTAATTGTGCATTCCTACTGGACGACTTGGTAAGATAAACATTCGAAGCAATTCATACAGAATCTCCTCAAAAACAAAAAGAAAAAGCATCTTGCAAAGTTCTTATTTTACTTTCAGATATATATTAATGATGTGTTTTCAGCGACTGCATGCATCTCAATAACCGAGTGAACTGTAGATTAAGGATACTGCCGAAACTAGAAGGTATGTTTCTTATATTGGTCTATTACTCAATACTGACACAGGGAGACAAATTCAAACTAGAATCTATGTCAAACGTAATAATTCCAACTTTCAAATTGACAACTTCCGATTTCACAGCAGCCATAGGGATGTGCTCCTTACACATATATTGCTCCTGTATAGTTATGAGAAGGACGACTGAAATCGACACTTCGTAAGTTTTACTGTCATCATCTCAAATTGGTCGATCGATACATTATGTATGTTTCCCTATTTATTGTTTATAATCGAAGATTTTTAGATCACAGACCTATTCCCGATTGTGACATTCAGACTGAGTGTGGACTCGCATTACGGGTGATGCATATATAGCATATACTATCTCGTTGCACCAGGTTTCTTTCCGTTTGGAGATTATGCAATTCCGTAACATTTTGTTCGTTATGGTGAATTGTATCTTCTCAATTGATTCATGAAATATGAGTATCAGTAAACTATAAAGCAAACTGAATTTGTATAGTTTTGGCCTTAAATTACCATATATTTGTAAAACTGTTATATAAGACAAATTATGTAAAAGCCAGTCCTCCGAGTTAATTTCATTGTATTTATCACACATGTATGTAATAATTATACCTTATGATTAGGTGTATATATGTTCTCTATAACTATGTTATTGTAGTTTTATGAGAAATAAAGTCATTCATTCGAAACACAACATAATATAAATGGGACGATGTTGTAGTGCTGTCTGAAATATCTGTTAATAAACCAGTTCGTGGCATTTTTAAAAGTTAAAGATAGATTAAACAATATGTGTATATGTGTAGGAGATTAACAAAATTTAATAAATTTGACAAAAAAACAAGATATAAATGACTGCATGACACCAATTATAAATGAGAGGCGGGAGATACTAAAGGGAAATAATAAGTTTCCATTCACAAAATATAGTTCTTTCCCTTGCCCGATGTTAATTGTATCTGTTTTGATTTATTATTTCATGTTGTGAACCAACACCCGATGTGGGATTGTTTGAAAATTTAAGTTGGTAATGAACGTGACAGTAACACTATTTTAATATAGACATTCGTTACGAAATATGATGCATCAATATTGCTGAAAAAATCGTTACTCTATTATCTGTACTTGCTTAAATTTTGAAACTAAACGCAAAACCTAATCAAAGCCATTCTTGATAAAATTTAAATCTAGGTGACCTTATTTTTCATATAAATTTCCATGATACGTGATTGCCTTATAATTTGTTGTTGCTAAGACTTGAACATTAACCAAAATGTTCACAGGGCGCACATATTTAAAGGTTCATCCCGTTCCCGCTGTGAAAATCAAGTTGGTATGAGATTTTACATACTGACTGATACGTGCAGTAGACTAAACTAACGTCTTCTGACATACCCCTTTTGATACTTAGGTGTTCAGGTAAATTCAAATCTATGTTAATTTTATGTGCATACACGCAGAGCAGTTGATAAAAGAAGTGGATACAACTTGTCAACTGTATTAATAACACAGATGTAGACTGTGGTTCAGGAAGTTGAAAGTCAAATATTTCCTCAAGTGACCTCAGAAACACATTTTGTACATAAATCCCATTGTGTGTTATCAAATAAGTGGTCATGTGAAAAGATAAAGTTGGAAAAACCTTTTATATTTGAAATAATTGTTAAGAAAATCATAAAATTCTTTGTTAATTAAGAAACAAAATTAAATTTCAAAACTCTATACCTTTTTTAGGGTTTACATGTGTATCTGTTGTTTTCCATATATACCAAAACACATATTTTACAGTACCATAACCCTATACACACACAAAACGAAATGATATACAATTGGCTGAACAAGACCAATTCACATACACAAAATTTGATACAATACTATAAACGAAAATCTTAGAATTGCACTCTATATCCTACCATAAACATTGTTGTAAATGAAAGGATTATCGAATGTTGTCCGAACAATGCTTGAATGCGGCACAAAACATATTGGTAGGTTGTACGAACATTGAACGACAGATTCACGTAAGAAGGATGTCAGAATTAAAGAATAAGATATTAGTTTAGTTTTAATATAACTAGGGATTAATATTAAACTAAGTTACTTTTATATATAACTATGATTTCGTGATAAAGCGCAAATTTTCATGCAGAGTAAATCTTTTTTCATTAAAAAATCGATTAAACAAGAAGAAACCGATGGAGAGTTTGACACAAATATGTTGAAGAAAAACTGACACATATCATGCTGGAATTGACTAATGCAAAGTCGGTCGACTTCATGTGTCAACCTTATTATTGTGCAAATTATGCATATCACTCAATATTTGAATATTTCAACTGATAATGACTTCCGTGATATTTTTTTGAAACCCATAAATTGAAAATATTCATATTATGATTTAATCAAGTTTGGGTGACAAACTTGTTTAACTGTGATCACTAATTTACGTACCAGACATTCGTAAGGATTGGTTTCGTATTTCATACATACTACATATCAACCGTCCCTGTCCTTGGAGAAGGTCCGTGTATTAATACAGAATATGTAAGAGTGATACTATGTGTTTTTTCATGTGTGATATAAAATTCTTCTGTGTACTTATAAGTTAGTTCCATGAAATGAAATAACTAAAGCTTACCAGCCTTTTTGACTGTAATTCTATCACTTTGAGAATTACCCATAGTACAGTTAAAAGTAGCATCAATCACGTTTTCACTAGACGGTGTATAGTTCCATATATATGTACTTGTGTTTAAATCACAATGACATTTAGTTGTTAATGAACAGGATGTCATTCCATTTTCACTGCAATTTCGAATGAAGCCAATCAATGTTGCGTCTTTATGGAATGTCACCCATGGATCTGAAAAGTTGTTATCTAAACTGCAGTTCAATGCCAGTTCAGTACCACCCAAGATATAGTCCGGTGAGACTAATAATTTTATACATAATACATGTCCTGAAAATTAAAACAAATTATATAAGATCATTAGTGCAACTTAACTTTGTTTGGGTTGAGACGACTTTTTAATAAGTAAGATAATTGCCACTTTTCATCAATTGCCTAAACAAGTACCTTGGTCCATGGAAAACAAATATATTATTTTTTAACAAAGGAAGTCTTATACAAAAAGCCATTTATATCCCCTTCGATTTTACAAAATAGTACTTTTCGTTCTTTCAATATTGTATTATTTTTATCGATGAATATAAACAGGATAGAGAATGATAATAATAATGCATAAAAAAGATAACAAAAAGATTGGAAACTATGACATACCAACTGACAAACAACCGGTAACTTTGACGTACAAACCAGACTACAACAACGAACAACACATGGTCCAGATTGTCAGACTTAGTAAACTGTGTTGAACTAGTTTTACGTGCGCAACTACGTATGTAGTTTTATTTTTACTTTAACATATACATATCATTTGGATTGTCATTCTGAAGTCATCAACAATCGATAACCATTACAGTCGGATTTGAATTAAAGCTTTCACTTTGGTCTGCTAGATGTGCTTGTCGCTCGTGTAAGGATCTGGGGACATCCAATCAGGAGTCATGTTTAGATGTACTTTCTTCATCCAACAATATCCTCGCCTTCAAATATTTTTGGAATATTTTACTATGAACTACAAAAATTATTGTCGAGTATCTGCGTAATGTTTCAGAATATAGTCCGAAATTCTATGCTTTAACAATTTTCCGACATCGTTTCGACTCTTAAAAGACGACCTTATGGCAAACATTTCTTAACTTAACAAAATAATTATTTTTTATTGTTTTTGAATTTTATATATTATACATATTGTGAACTGGCAAAACATTTAATCATTATAATGTTGAAATTTTGATACAAGATACAATTGCGTTAAACTATGTTTTTGGTTAAAACATTGTAATTAAAATGACGGTTTGTCATCCCAAATTATTGGTTGACCAAAATTTGCATAAAATGGTGTTCAAGATGACCTAAACATCGGATTGAGTGAAAGTCTTTTACATTATGCTAGATTTCTGTATTATAAGGAATACAGCTACAGAGTAATATCAATACATTTCAAATTATTTTGGGGAAATAAATGTAACAAATTCGGCCATATATTAGCCCAAATATAACAAACAAATTATAAACAGTTACACAAACATAGGACACATCACGAGATTTGTCAGATAATTTGGCGGAAAAAACGTAGTCAAAAGAGAATACACATATAACAGAAAGCAATATCTGACGTTCTCAACACTTACGAGAAAAGAACATTATGTCAATATAATGGAAAAGAAAGGATATGGTGAATATTAGAGGCAAGATATACACTACCCCAGTAAAACTTTGAAGCTTCCTCTTTTGAAAACAAATTGAAACAAAAGAAAAAACCACCGACGAAGGCCAGGTTAAATCTAGATTTAGGTTTAACTTCTTCTTTAGTTTTCGTTGCTACGCAAACCATTAAAAGCGTTGTTGATTTGTTTTACCTGACTGAATTCTGAGTATTATATTAATTTTACTAAAATTGAAAGACATGCATAAACACAATTTACTGAATAAAGTATTTTATCACACATAAGAAAAGGATACAAGATTTTAAATATTAATATATGCGGAAGTTACCTTATTTGTGTTTGATTTGATAAAGACTAGTCAAAGCTTCACTTAAAATTGTAAATTATTTGGTGTTTTCGATTTGTTTTCGCTCACAAAAATTTCAGAAATCGGAAATTGTGAATTGATGATCCGTCTTTTTGGAGTAACCTGTTTATGTTTTTTGGGTTTCCTTTTAACAAAATGATATATTATAATTAAATGTGTTTATTTTAAGTATTAAAGTCTACAGAATCGATAAAAATCGATAAACATCGTTACTAGTAATATTTGCGAAAGAGGGATGATAGTTACAGTGTTAATTTTTACAATGTTAAAGTGTCATTGACTTAATTTAACATGTGTCCGAATATTTTCTCTTTATATGAAACAAAGCTTATGGGATGTACAGACATATCATTAACTAATCGCCGTAAAAAGCCCAATTATAACCATAAAGAAGTTACAAACCGCGTTGTTAGCCTCATTAAGGCCACTAGAATCAAACTTTTGATTTAAAAATGAAAAGTCTGCCTCTGAAACTTGTTTTCTTCAAATTTAAGCAAATGTTACAATAAGGGTGTTCCCCGCGAATTAGGGCTCAAAATAGGCCTTATTTCGTTAAAGTTTATTCGATTGTAATGTCATGGACTTTTACATTTGCCGAATCATATTGGACAGCAACTGTCCAAACTTACCCTTCTGTCCTAGCATCCACGGTTTTACCCTACGTTTTTGTACCGATCAACGGCAGGACACGTTAATGTTATATACTTTTTCACAATATGAATATACTTACCTGTAATTATACAAGCGATTAGTGTTGACAATCTGACACAAGTCATTGTAACTATTGGTGAAGTTAGTGCTTTGAAATACTGAAATAATAATAATAATAATGATATTAATAATAATAAAAAAATAATAATAATAATAAAATAATAAATCAATAATTACAGTAATATTAATATTATGGAAATAAATCATGATAAATTCAAACTTATCTATTTAAATTCTCGTATGTTAAGTATATCCCGAAAAACCAGAACTAACCGCAAAGTCTTGCAAAGCAGACCATTCTTAAACAGTCATGCTATGGGAGTAGAGTTAAAAATTAAGTATCACCAAACAAAGAAGTGATCAAAAACAAATATGCGATCACGGTGCAACACATTATTAAGCTTAAAGTTCCTTATGGAATTTTTTAACAAGTAACACAATTAGAAATGACGAACTGATAACTAAGGCAATTTGAGTTTCGTAATAAAGAATTAAATATTCTTAGTATATGAATATTCGATATCGGTTTGTAAGAATTAAAAAAAAAAGATAACATTTAACAAAAAATATATGTTATATGTTACTTATTATTGTCGGGATCGAACTTTTCCAAATCATTACACATGAAACTCTGCGGAGTTCGATGCTCAGTTTAGATTAAAACTCGATAAATATGTTTTAAGATCGATAACTTTTAGGATAAGTTGTATTGAAACTTAATGACTTGAACCTATTTCCATGCTTACAAATTGATGGCATAGGTCTAGAAAAATGAAATTTGACACGATTCTAAAATAAAATCGCCGTTTCGTAAACACTCGAAACGAAATAATTCACACTTCCGTTTCTGCATCATGTACATTCTCAGCTCTCAAAGTTTTGAAAATAAACAAAAAAACAAACTTATCAAAAATATCAGATACAAATAGTTGTGTACTATGGAACGCCACAGCTGTCTTATGTGGAACTCTGATATTACTTTATGTTGTTTTATTATTACTTGATGATATTTTGTCTTTACTTAATATGGTTTTGACATGACGTAATGATGTTTTGATATAACTCAATATGGAATAGTCATTACTTAATGATATTTCGATATTACACGATATGGTTTCGTATTGATTTGATGTAGTTTTGTCATTACTCAATATGGTTTTGTCATTACTCGATGTGGTTTCACCATTATTTAATGTGGTTGTGTCATTAATCAATGTGATTTTAACATTACTTGATGTGAATGTGACTTAACGTTATGTAGTTGTTTCATTACATGATGTGGTTTTGTTATTTTGTAATGATGATTTGCCTATTCTTTATATGGTTTTAACATTACGTAATGATGTTTCAAAATTTGACGATTTTACACTACATGATGTGTTTGTTTCATTATTTGATGTGGTCCTGTCATTCTTTGATGTGGTTATCCCATTACTTGATGAGGTAAAATCACGTGACCAATTCGGAAAAACCTGTTCTATTTTTAGATGGATTTCCATGTTGTATGTGCTTTGGATGAGTGTGGCCATCCATCGAATTAGAGTTCAAATTAAAGTTCGGGTTACTGTTTGAGTTATACTTTGAGTTAGTCTTCGATTTCGAATTCAAGTCATTATTAAAATTAAAGTTTTAGTTAGCATTGAGTTTCGAGTTGGACTTCAGAGTCGAGTTTGAGTCACATTTAAAGGTATAGTTCTAGTTACAACATTAAATTTGAGTCACTTTTTGAGTTTGAGTAAGATTCGAATTTAAGTCTCATTCAGATTAATTAAGATTTTGAGTTGAAATTCGAGCTATCTTATATGAGTTCGTAATTAAATTTTCTATCGCGGAACAAGGACTTTTGCTCGGGCTTCCGAAAAGAGGGCTCTTGGGTATGTGTACAAAAAATAAACAATATTACAGTATACAAAACGCAACATACATGTAGAAGTTTAAATAAAGTTTGATGTGGTGTGATTGACAATGAGACAACTATCCACCAGAGTTTAAAAGCAGTGGGTGCAAGAAATCATATATTGGCAACCGTACAGCCTTCAACACACCGTATAGTCAAGGTCAGCTACAAAAGGCCACCATGCACCATGTGACAACAAAAATTCAAACGACAAAACAAACGGTCTTATTTATATTTAAACAATCTACAAAAAAAATGACACACATTTATACAACGACAACAATTGAACTTCATGCTCCTGACTTAGGGCAGGTACATAAAGAAAGTGCACGTGGCGGAGTTTAAGTTCAATTATCTCCCAAAAGAGCAAATGATAATAAAAATAAAAACCTTGACCACATGCACACCTTCAATAATTGTACAAACAGCCAGCAGAGTGAAAACTTCCTAGCATTCAAACTGTAGGAGGAGTTATCTGGAAACGCTCTTCTTATGCAAGTAAATTTCCCAAAAAATTACAAAATAAATTCAACTATCTCCCAAAAGAGCAAATATTAATAAACATTAAACCCTGACCACATACACACCTTCAATATATGTACAAACAGATAGTAAAGAGAAAACTTCCTAGGATTCAAACTGTAGGAGGAGTTATGCGGAATAACTATATATCCATAATGGGACGGACAGACGGACGGACGGACGGACAGGGGTAAAACAATATGCCCCCAACTTCCAGTTGCGGTGGCATACAAAACAGTTTCATTTGGCTGACTCAATAGATCGGTATGACTGGGTAATATAAATCCATCGGGGTGATCTCGGATGCTCCAGAAAGGCACCCGTCGTGTTATTCGAGAAAGTACAAACCCAGTGATTTGGTTTTTTTTGGTAGTTCACATTCGAGGAAAAGATGACGGTATTATGGTTACGACCACTGGAACATGTCCGTCGTCACATGTGAAACAGATATTCCAAAAAGTTTATTTTTCAATTAGTGCGAGGTAGATCAGGGAATTCAATTGGTTACAAATAAAAGATTGATATTCATATAAGTTCGCTAAAAAAAATCGGAGAAATCTTATTTTATAGTATTTATGCTTTGTCGCTAAGTCGTCGGTAGTGGCGTCGGCGTCTCCATCTCCATTTTTTAAAATTTCTATTGAGTTTAGCCTTTCATTATACATGTTGCTAAACATGTATGCCATCATAATTTTGTACTTTTAGAATATCATACTGTATTTATTTACCTCAACTATTGTATCTGTATTTGTATTGTATGTTTCTCTGTAAACTTGTAATTAGTTTTTAGAGAATAAAGTATCTATCTATCTATCTATCTATAGATCGTTAGGTTTCTAGTTTTTTACATTTTTCATTTCGGGTCCTTTTATAGCTTACTATAGAGTAAAGGTTTTGCTTATTGTTAAAAACCATACAGTTTTGTTTTAGTTAAATAAAACCGAATTAAACTGTTTTGACATGATAAATTTGTAAACCTCCATGAAGTGTTTTAAAACTTGTATAGGAGTTATAATTCCTCAATTTCAAGAAAAAGCATTTACAGAAAAACATTTTTTTTTTAATTTTGTTTTTACCGATAAATGTATAGATAAATGTACAGCCGATCAACATGAGGCTTTTACACTTACAGCAGCAATATCAGGCGAGACACAGGGTTCCGTGGAATATTTTACAAATTTATTACAAAAATACTGCTTCCGTTTGAGAACTTAGGATAAAAACAACAAGACCAAGTGGTTTGGGGATATCCCAATTATGTCCGAAGTACTGTAAACTTTTTAGTACCTTTTTTCTTATTATTGTCCGCCGTTCCCCTTTTTCATACCAAAAAACTCTGAACAACCACTCGAACTTTAATTTTAACTTTAACTCAATGGATAGCGATACCCATCCAAAGCACATTAAACAAATTAATGATATATTGAAATCTGTTTAAAAATAGTACATATTTTTTTCCGAATTGGTCACGTGATTTTACCTCATCAAGTAATGGGATAACCACATCAAAGAATGACAGGACCACATCAAATAATGAAACAAAAACATCATGTAGTGTAAAATCGTCAAATTTTGAAACATCATTACGTAATGTTAAAACCATATAAAGAATAGGCAAATCATCATTACAAAATAACAAAACCACATCATGTAATGAAACAACTACATAACGTTAAGTCACATTCACATCAAGTAATGCTAAAACCACATTGACTAATGACACAACCACATTAAATAATGGTGAAACCACATCGAGTAATGACAAAACCATATTGAGTAATGACAAAACTATATCAAGTCAATACGAAACCATATCGTGTAATATCGAAATATCATTAAGTAATGACAGAGACATATATATATGTCTCTGGTAATGACTATTCCATATTGAGTTATATCAAAACATCATTACGTAATGTCAAAACCATATTAAGTAAAGACAAAATATCATCAAGTAATAATAAAACAACATAAAGTAATATCAGAGTTCCACATAAGACAGCTGAGGCGTTCCATAGTGTACCCCAGATGCAGGTTTCGTTCACATAAATATCAAAATTAAACAGCTGTTTACCAAATCAATAAAAAAGTTGTAGTGCACTGAAAACCAAATATATTGTAATAAATCTGTTCAAGGCTATCTAACTTTAGTGGTTGAAGGATTTGTGCCTTTCATGAATGATGAATATTATTAAAGAGAAAATGACCGTCTTAATGATACATATATTTCATGCTAGAACAGGATTGCTAACTTCTGGTACGTAAAAAATATATTAATTCAAAATTGAGTAAGGTTTCAATACATGGTTACATTTTCATTTAGTAATTTTATATATCGTCGAGTAGTTTGCAAATCAAATACATTTGCTATGTGCTATGTCAATACAAGATAAAATGTCTGACAGAAAAGTGTTTTTCGTCTTTAAAGCTGTGGAAAATATTCCTTCTAAATTATTTTTTATATAAAGTGCAAAAAAACACATTTTTTATAAAGTGCAAAGCGAGAGATATAATATTATCTATACTCACTGGAATGCCTGTCTGTCAAACGTCAAAGTTTCTTTTACGACATAGTTGTCTTGCAGAATTTAGAAAAAGGATACAATACGTTATATATCTTTTACAACTGATAATAAAAAAACGATAGTAAATCACGGTTCTAATCACCTGACATACAAATATTAAGAGGAAATCCTCTAATAAAAGACATAAAAACATGAACACTTCCGGGTGACTTTTTAAATTAAATGTTATGCTTGAGTTATTAGGTATAAAACCTAAATCATTTAAATTTGGGTTATCAAATACTACAATTACAGTTAATGTAAAATTAACTATATGAATTTAAACAACACGTTATAAATATTCAATCAACAACTTAATTACAACAAGTGTGGATATTATAGGGGAAAACGATACATAGGCATATTTGTTTACGTCAAGTGTTGGCCTTACTCCAAAAGCAAAACTGTTATCAGTCTTAGATCTTCTTCTTCTTTAAGCTTTCCAGTCTTCCATCTGAATAAAGATGATTAATAACTGGTGCATACGTGGCCTATTTATTTAAACCAAGTTAATATAAAGTTATATACAAAAACAAAACGTTGTGATTAAAACTATGTACAAGAGATGAAGCTATTTAAATGAGAGTGGAGAGAACAGCATATGTAAGCTGCTCTCTGAAAGAGTCGACTGTCTGTGAATTAACAACTGTAGTTAGTAGGAGATTCCATTGCGTTATTGTGTATGGGGAAAATGAAAATCTGTACGAGTCTTTGGATGTATAAATATGTCTGAAGGTGTGTGAATGATGTTTTCTGGTTCTTGCGTCTGATGGAATGAGAATTGTGCTAGATGGTATAGCAACTAGATGATGTGTGATCTTGTACATCATAACCAGGCGTGCACGTAATCTGCGCTGTGTTAATTGTGGCCAGTTGAGTGTATTGAGTATGTTTGATACACTGCTAGTGTTATGATACCTGTTGCAGGCAAACCGAGCAGCTCTCCTTTGAACCATCTCTATCTTCGAGATAGATTCTGAAGTGTGGGGGTCCCAAACCGAGCAAGAGTACTCGAGTTTGGGACGGACAATTGCTTGGTATGCCTGGCTCTTAATGTTTTGATTTGATGTTTCAGGTTTCTTCTAAGAAAGCCTAGTGTTTTATTGGCTTTCGAAATATTGTCATCTATATGTTTGTCCCATTTGAGGTTAGATTACAGTGTGATGCCTAAGTACTTAGCAGATGTAACAGTTTCTAAAATATGATTGTGAAGAGTGTAATTATGTTGTAAAGGTTGACGTTTAGTTGTGACAGAGAGAACAGTACACTTGTCTGGGTGGAAGGCCATCAGCCAGTCGACTTCCCATTTTGCAGCTGCATCAAGATCAGCTTGCAGTTTGAGGCATTCACCTTGGGATCTAACTGGCATGTATATGATAGTGTCATCAGCAAATAATCTTAGTTTGCTATGAGTAAGGTAGTCTGGGAGGTCGTTAATATAGGCCAAGAATAGGACTGGACCTAAGACAGTACCTTGTGGAACCCCAGAGATGACTGGGACTGTGCTTGATGATCTTCCCAACAGAACAACTGTCTGAGTACGGTCGTAGAGAAATGCAGAAATCTAGTTTAATGTGTTTCCATTGATGCCAAAATGATTTAATTTGTACAGTAAGTGACGATGTGGAACTTTGTCAAAGGCTTTTGCAAAGTCCATTATTATAAGATCTGTTTGTATTTGAATTGTTTGTGGATTGAAGTCCTTGGATGAAGGAAAGTAGTTGTGTTTCGCAAGATCGAGAGTGCCGGAAGCCATGTTGGAGGTCGTACAAAATGTTATTTGATTCAAGATGTTTCATAATGTGGGACGTGACTATGTGCTCCATTAATTTGCAGCAAATACAAGTAAATGAGATTGGTCTATAATTAACCGGTTTATGTTTGTCCCCCTTTTTATATGCCGGGGCGACTCTAGCATATTTCCATTCGTTAGGTGATTTTCCAGTGATGTAGGATTTTTTTTAAAATTTGGAACAGAATTGGTGCAATTTGTGTCTGCATTTCTTTGAGTAAGCGGCCACTGATGTTATCCTGGGCCGGTGGCTTTATGAGGGTTGATCTTATTTAAAAGCTTTTCGATCCCTTTTGATGTTATATGTAATTTACTGATTTTAGGATGTGAACTGATACCCTTGTTTGGTATTGGGTCATTTGTTACTGGGGTAAATACAGATTGAAATTGTTCGTTTAAAAGATTTGCTTTCTCTGTAGCGTCTGTAATGACGTTGCCGTCTTTCTTTAGTGCAGAGATACCAGATTTGTCAGTTCTTATTAACTTGATATATTGAAAAAACGTTTTAGGTTTACTCTGATTTTGTGTTGGAATATCTGGTTCATTGGTGGGAAGATCACAGATTAGTTTTTCAATATATTCCCATTAGGCTTTCCTTTGTTCTTTTTGTACCTGAGCTTTCATCTTCTTATATTTCTCAGTGTTTTTGCTGTTTTTTCGCTTTTCGTACAGTTTATTTTTCTTGTTTATTTGACGTCTTAATTTGTCAGAGATCCACGGTAATCGGTGTTTGTTTGTAGGATCTTTGATGGAATATTTCTTTCGACAGAGCTGATGAGTTTAGATTTAAAGAGTTCCCATAGCTCATTAGTGTCTAGAGAATCATAGGTGTCAATGATTGTTTTATGGATGATACCTATGTCAGTTTTAATGTCCTCCCAGTTGGCTTTATTGTACTTGGAAACTTTTTGTGGGGTTTCTTTTATTTTCTTACGCCAGATGTCTGTTTCGGCATAGACAATATCATGGTCGCTTGAACCTATTGGTGGTAGTGTGGTGACTTTGCTTATGTATGTTGGATTGTTAATCATGATCAGATCTAGTATACGGTCATTTCTTGTTGGTGTATTGACAATTTGATGTAAGTTTGTGTCATTCATTATATTTAAGAGATTTTGGTGAAGTTTGTCAGGTTTGCCTGGTATTGTACATGATTTTGACCAATCAATATGTCCCAAGTTAAAATCACCCCCAACGATGATGGTTGCATTTGATTGACTATTGATACGATTTAGAGATTGATGGAGTTGCTCTAGTGACAAGCCTGTATCAGATGGAGGTCTGTAATAGGATGATAAGATGTGTTTTGAGCCAGCGATATTGATTTGTGCCCAGACTACTTCACATTCTGTTTCTTCTTCTTTTACCTCAGTCTGTATTCTTTTGTAATTGCTATAAGTACACCCCCATAGCTTTGGTTGTTGTTACTTGGTGCCCTGTCATTGCGATGCACATTATATAAGTCTGACGGAAAGTACTCGTAAGAAGAAGTGCTTGGTTCTAATCATGTTTCGGTACCTAGTATGATATATGGTTTGACAGTATCAATGATTTCTAGTAGGTCAGCTTTTTTGTTTTTTATTGATTGGAAATTCATGTTTATAATTTTTTAATCTTCGTCATTGTTCTGAAACTTTTTTTTAGATTTATCCTTAAACCACAGCAATGCACACAATATGCATAAAATTAAACAAAAAGTAGTTGGTAAGATCTTAGTTTAGATTTTATCCTATCTACGATTTAAAATGTCGTGTGTATTTAAAACATACGAAATCAGAGGCTAGAATCTATTTCAGAATTGAGCATGTTGAATGTTTATTTTCTTCAAATTTTGCATGAAAGACGGACATTCAATTATTAAATTCATAGATGTACAAATAGTGTTTTGCACAAGGTACATGAACAATTTATAAATTGATTAGGTAGTCGGGGCTTATCATTCTATAAGCTTGGGCTGCTTTCGTGATTTAGGGTTGTATTCATACTAAATTAAAGCATATGACGGAATTACTTGATTTGTCTTACATCCAATACAATAAAACTTTCATAGTTCTCGTGTACAATGCAACTTGTTTAATAAGTCATTTGCTCATGACAGCTGATTTGATCGGTGATACGTAACACACAGTGACATCGTTCGAAATTCCGATTCAAGCAAAATACAACCTATCAAAGCAGTGATATACACTTATATATGAAGAGTGGAGCAAGTGATACAGGCACAAAAAAGCCCTATTGATACGCATTCATTACGTTTGAATGAACTTGTTCAGAGAGTGTTCCCTAAAACCATTTTTTTGCAGATTCCGTCGGTGATTGGTTGCCAAAAATCTGTCTATTTTTAGTGATAGTCTTATAAATATTTCGATCATCATCATGGTCAGCTGCCCATTTGACAGAACGTAATGCTATTACATTGTCCGATTTGTAAACGACTTGAAAATGCATGAAACATTTCTCACTGAACGTTATAAAAAACATTGTCAGTCTAGCGGATTGATTACTGCAGTGCACCGCGGTTAAACAAGGGTTGTCATTCAAGAAACTGGCTGAATAATCAAAGAACCTTTGTGAGCACGCTCACATACCCCACCCCTCCAACATTGTCACTGGGCAACCAAAATATCACCAGATTCCTACGTTCAAAGACTCATAAATCCTACAAAAGTCAAATGATAACATTTGTTTTGTAAATATGTATATTATTTCCTAATTAATCACAGAGCTTCATGAAATTCTGTTGTTTGGTTTTAGAGGAGTTGCACTGACTGGTGCAGTAGTATATTGTATGGAAAGCCGATCAGTGGTGCCTCAGTGTAATGCTATAAAAATGTTTCCCTTAGTGTATTGCTATTAGAATGACAGTGCTTTTGTAATAAATTACATAAATAGGGAATAACAGTTTACATCCAGTATCGCTTTCATTGGTAGCATGGTACTCTGATATTCCTTGGTATGGTTGGTTCCTCTGGTATGGTAACACCTCGGATATAAAGGGTTTGGGTTATAGGTTTTGGCCTGTGAAAGTGTGTGGTTTTGTATGAAAACACTCCATAATTGATGTATGTATTAATAAAAGACTCGTTAAATAAAATCAACGTATATTAACACTAAATATAGACACTACATTCATATATATATATTAGACAGATAAATTAATAATCTTCAAATCTAAATAAAATATTTTATCAACCGTGAAGTAAAGAAAATGGATAGCGGAAAAATATGCCGAGAAAGTTTACTTAATGGAATTCAGTAATTGACAAATCCACTTTATTTGAACTTTGGTGGACAGTTGTCTCATTGGCAATCATACCTCATCTCCTTATTTTTAAATGGTAAAATTTAATACAAAAAGACATGTATGTGAAGTTAGCAGC